CAGTTTCACAGCATGATTGCGTTCGCTGAGAGATAGTGAAGCATCCTCTAAAATTTATACATACAGTTCTAGAAATATCCCCATGTGAATAATCTCCTCCACCACTGCACGGCTTTCATGAGAAAACTTGCTCTGCTTCTTCCCTTGGTCTTTGCTCTCTCTCAAGTTGAGGGAGAGGGAAAAGAAGGAGGAGATGATGATGTTGCTGGAGGAGGTGGTGGTGGTGGAGGTCATGGTGATGGAAGGGAGGTGACAGAGGTGGAGATGATGGTGGTGTGATGGAGGTCATGGTGGTGGAGGGGAGGTGACGGAGGTGGAGATGATGGTGATGATGATAATGTTTGTGGTGGTGGAGGTCATGGTGGTGGAGGGGAGGTGACAGAGGGGAAGTGGCGGAGGTGGAGATGATGGTGATGATAATGTTTGTGGTGGTGGAGGTCATGGTGGTGGAGGGGAGGTGATGGAGGGGAAGTGACGGAGGTGGAGATGATGGTGATGATGATAATGTTTGTGGTGGTGGAGGTTATCGTGGTGGAGGGGAGGTGACAGAGGGGAAGTGGCGGAGGTGGAGATGATGGTGATGATGATAATGGTGGGGGTGGGGATGATGATGATGGTGGTGGTCGTGATTGATGGAGAAGTGATGGAGATGGAGGTGATGGGGATGATGGTGGTGGGGATGATGGTGGTGATGGTGGTGGAGTTGTAGGTGGTGGTGTTGATAGAGGTGGAGGAGGAGGAGGTAGTGATGGTGGTGGTGTTGATGGAGGAGAGGCGATGGAGGTGGAGGGGTTGGTGATGATGGTGGTGGTATTGCAGATGGTGGCGGTGAAATGTAGGTGAAGATGTCGACAGAGGTGGAGGTGGTGATGGAGGTGTAAGTGATGCTGATAATGGTGGTGGTGGTTGAGGAGCTGAAGGTGGTGGTGATGGAGGTGGTAGTGATAGTGATGGAGGTGGTAGTGATAGTGATGGAGGTGGTGGCGATAGCAGTGGTAATGGTGATGGTGGTGGTGACAGAGGTAGTAGTGGTGATGGCTGTGGTGAAGGTGATGGAGGTGGAAGTGATGCTGATAATGGTTGTGGTGGTTGAGAAGTCGGAAGTGGTGGTGATAAAGATGGAGGTGATGATAATGCCTGGGGCGGCAGTGACAGCTCCTAACACATATTGAGGCCCTAGAATGTGCCAAGCCCAGCATTCTCTTATTTAATCATGACAAAGAGCCTGTGAAAAGCTAATCAATATCCACTTTGAAATCTGGAAACAGTCTGAGAGTGTAGGTATAACGTCCTAGATCCAAGATCGCAAACCTAGATCCATGTTAGTATCTCTGCTATTAACCACTACATGGTGGAAAGAGAGCAAGCAAAATTAAGTTACAGAGTTTGAGGTCAGCCTTTTGTCTCCTTTTAAAAAGAGCCATGTTTGGTTGCAACCACTGAAGAAGTAAGGGCCCTATTGTCACACAGGTCAGTAGGTGTACTGGATGTGCTCAAAGTCTGAAATCCCGTCAGAATGTTCGCCATAGAGCAGGCTGTAGAGCTAACCAGAATCAGCAGGAAAATAGCAGGGATTTTATATCTTTAATGAGTTGGGGTGTTTTTTAGTTGAAAGAACTTTATTTAGGAAGTCTTAAATTAATATACCTGAATGGTGGGGAGGGGGCCTCAAAGGGGCTATGATTATATTTCAGTATTTAGTACATGTTGTCTGTCAGCTCGCTGTGTTAATTCTATGGGTTTGAAATACATTTTGCCAAAATTTTAGTGCCCAGGTGTTAGGATAGCTCTAAAAAAGGCATATCTGAACCAAAGACAAACAAAATGAGGACTCTAAAAATGTTTTATTAATTTCCTCTTTTGAAGAGTCATAACAAATCTGCTGCAGTTGCACCAATCTCAAATAAAGCAAACCTGATTAATAAGCGCTTGGGCCCCGTGAGGAAACACAGGGACAAGTGAGTCACCAGTGGTGATGGACTCTCTTGGAGGGGGAAGCCCTGGTTTGTAGCCTTTACTGACTTCCCTGGTGCCACTTCTCCCTCCGTGGCCTGTTTCTCGCAGTCTGTGACACCTTTGAAAAGCTGGGAAGAGAGGCATCAGAGCCACTGCCATGATCAGCAAGGTGTCCGTTCAGTGGACATGTTCTCTAGGACAGGCACTTCCGGATTCACTGCCTCGGTGACCCTCGGCCAGTCACTTCCCCTCCCTGGACCTTTGTTGCCTCTACCAAGGATAATGTGGACAATAATAACATCCCTTTTACCTCTAACATTTTAGAGTTCTCAAAGCCAGCACCTGCTACTTTCTCCAACATCCAAATGCCTTAAGCGCCTTTCTGGAAAATGAAGTTAGTGTTGCGTCCAAAAGTGCCTCCAATTTCATCTACTGAGCATAAGGTTTGGAAAGGAGTGACTTACTCTCTTTTGCCTCTTTAAATGTGTAGCCAATGGTGCATCATACATTTTTGACACTTCTTTTGCTAGATGTGCGATCCAGGAGGGAAAGCATGGATCTTCCAGGGCTTTCTTGCTCTGGTGGGCTGGGAATCTGTGAGTGCGTTGTGCGGATCACTGCTGTCTGTGCTCCCCACCTCCTTTCCCTTTCAACAGAGAGTGTTGATAGCATTCTGCCTTGTTATTTTATTACTATTAGCATTATTATTCTTTTAATATCCAAACTCTCTTCACAAGAATGAAAACTGCTCGCATGAAATGCAAGGGGCCTTTGCTGTATGTCCCCACCCCCGAAAGGCGGCATGTCTCTCAGCAAAGCGAAAAAGGCATGTCACACAAGGCTTGCTGGCAATGATATCAGCCAGCGCCGGTTTGCCTGTTGTCACAGCCAAAGCAAAATGCCACCTCTGCCTAGAAGCCAGAGAACCGCATTCCTCTTTGTGTCCCTGAGACTCACCTGTCCTGGAGCCCTGGATGTGCAGGTTGGGCCAGGAAGTCACCAGGGTCCCTGGAAGGTCTTCTTCCAAACTTGGGAGGTGGTGGGGGTGGGGAAGGCATCAAAACAGATTATTTGGACCCCAGATTGCTGTTCACAGTCTAAGGCATGTCAGTTGCAGCCAGGAAGCATGGAATTGAGAGGCCTGGGGTGAACGCAGAGAGCCTCCAAATTGATGAGAATAAGAATTGCTGCTGCAGCAAACAACGGCCAGGTGTTCCTGTCCCCAGACCATTTCTCTACCAGCCTGGATCCAGTAGCAGTGAAGGCTTCACAGTCCCAAGGCAGCCAGTGCCAAAAAAACCTTCCATGGCCACCATTCAAAAAAAAAAAGGAAAGAAAGAAAAGAAAAAGTTCCAGTAAAATGTTCTCACCCCTACAGGGGAAAACCTGTCCATGCCGGAAGCCGCTTGACCCCACAAACGCACCCCTCCCCAGAGTGAACTGCAATTCTCAAGGCAAAAAAAAATCTCCCTCTGTCACCCCCACACCCCTCCACCTGCTCCTGAGGAGGGACAGAAGGTTCCTAGAACTGACGGCTTCAACTCCATGATCTTTAAAAGAGCAGAAGTTGGCTGCGAGGCTGCAGAGCTACATGGATTGGGGTGGGGTGGTCTCTGTTTGCGGCTGGGCTCCGAAGCCAGCCACAATTGGCTCTGACGAGCAAGGAGCCTAGAGAGGAGAAATAGCAAAGAGGGCTTCCGAGCGCCATGGCTGAGACTGTGTCGTTTCTTGCAAGGTGAAACTTGGCAGTTATACCTTGCAAGTAAAAACCCAAATTAATTAAAAAAAAAAAATTAAGTCAGGAACAAGGCTTCAGAAAAACTGTGAGTGTTAGGCATAAACTGATTTTGGATGATCTTTAGGTGAGAAAGGGTGGAGCTACCATCAGAAATATGTTTTTATTTATGCTTTTTTAATTCCCACTGGTGTGCGATGTGTGTGCGTGCCTGTGTGTATTGGTTAGCATGAGAACATGCATAGTCTAAATTCTCTAACCACTATTTTTCCCCCTTTCTTTCTTGAATCTTCTCTCTGTACAGATCATTATTATAGAAGCCGTCTAAATACATCTATAGGTCCATCCACACCTTTTGATTTTATTTGTAAATTGTTTGGTCTAAGCAACAGAGCGTAATGAAACCTGGTGAAGTTTAAAAGATTAGATTTTTTTTTTCATCCTGACACTTTATAACACTGTTCATATGTCTCCGAGTGAGATTTATGAATATATGAGCAGTACTGCAAAATTATACCACACCAGAGACTTCCTGCACCACAGGGGTGGCAGTCTAAAGTGACACAGCTTCAAGCATTTTTCACAGACAAGAAGCAAAATTTAACCCCCTTAAGGGGAAGTATGATTTCAACAGCTTGAAATGAGCTCATTTGTAGAATTTTTTTCTCCCTTCTCATCTTCCATAATTTTTTGGTGTTAAGATTAAAACAGATTGCAGAGCCAATGGAGGGGCACATAAACTGCCCAGTGGATGATTTGTCCCTTAAAGAGAAACCATCATTCATTATCTTTGTCAGGGGAAAAAAAATAAATACCTCCACCATATAAATTCAGGTAAACATCACCCTAAATTCCTAGGCTCTCTGTCTCATTTCCAGAGCTGTGCTTAGCAGATGGGGACTGGAGTTTTCAAAAGGTAAGTGGTAAATGACATCAGCTGGCACAGCCGAGAGGCTCCCATCTCTCTGGACACCTGGGACAATGACATTGGGAAGCAAGTATTCTGTGGCTTGAATCTCAACGTAGTAAAATGAACCGATAAAGAGGAAAACCAGAAAAGCAAAAAGGTGGTCTTTGTGAGTTGACAGTATGGGGAGACTCACAGTCTAAATCCATCTCTCTTAGGCTGGGCCAATACCTTGTGAGTCGATGTCAGTGAATGTTCATGGTCTCTTTGCTCTTCAGTTCTCTTTAACTGTTTTTGTTTCCTCTCGAAACAGAGCCAGGTGTTCACATGGGGCCCGCTCCCTCTCTACCCTGTAAACTTTCCATGATGTGTTGGCTGGAGAAATTTTGTCTCTTTTTGCAGCAATGGTACAACAGTTCCATGAATGTGATCTGTACCTGGTTGACGGACCGGATGGACTTACAGCTTCACATTTATCAATTGAAAACTCTAATTAGGATGGTAAAGGTAAAAGAAAAAACCATTCTTCTTCTTTGCAAAATAATTCACTAAGATATGTTTCATTAGCAAGCTGCAGAACTTCCTTGACACAGTGAATGCCAGTTTGCAAATAAAACAAGATTATCTCAGAGAAGTATCTCATGCAAACAAAATGAAGAAGTTGTTTTGGTTCATTTCTTACTCAGAAAGCAAAGGAAATAATTCATTTCACAGAATTTGAAATCTTAATCCAGACTAGAAAGGCACTTTATATATTTGGGGGGGAGGGAACCCAAACAAACACACAGGACCATTGTACCATTTGCATTAGACTTTCAAAAGCTGACATTTGGTAACACTATGCTAATCACATCAATTACCAATTTCATCTATGGTTTAATTAAATAAAAAATTTTGCCACAATTAATTTAATAGAAATATTTACCTCCAGCTATTTCTAAATATGTCCTGTGATAATTATCAGAATGCAAATCAATATTGTTCTCATAGTTAATTGAAGTAGTTTCTCTTACAATGCGTGTATACAATCAAATGTCAAAGACCGTAAAGGTGAGATAACATCCCCTAGAAGTAGTTTTTTCCCTGTTCATGTGTGTGTGCGCGCGCGCCTTGGACTAATGATAATTACTTCAGCGTGAAATCTCAGTGGTTTACATGAAATAATAAGATCACAGAAGGGGGTAAATACGTTTTTGATCATTTCAGTTTCCATTTGAGGCTTCACCGTAGAGGGTTTTAAAACATGCACATGTAAAAATCGCCCTCAAAGCACAGAGTCTCCTTTAAAATATTTTAACAATTAAATAGAGCTGAATTCCTGTGTTTCTTAACAATTTGCCAAAGTCTCCCTCCTCTCCAACCCCATTCCCCCCACCCCCTGATTTCTTAGTTTCTTTCGGATTAGCACCATTTCAATGAAGGTCCTACTTTTTCCCAGTGCTGACTTAAAACCAATTACTGTTCGGTTGTGTGTAATTAAGGAGAATTATTATCATCTGCATTTGATCTTACAAAGATTGAGCCCAGGGAAGGTTATAAACAGCAGTGTACTATAGTAGTTTAAAAGGCAATATATGATCCAGCGTCATTTTTCCATTTTTTACCTTGTTTTCTTAAGTCAGACTTGCTGGCCTGACCACTAGAATGCCATTTTCTGGATACTAGCAGCACTTGGGGGAATTTTCTGGGTGAGCCTAATTAAGTAGACAAAGGAAAAGACATATAATTCCATATTTTGAAGTATCTTCTCCTTACTGGTAGTTCCAGATATGTTTTAGGAGGGGTGAGATTTCTGCCTTTTATTAAGACTTAAAAAAAAACAAACAAAAAGCATAAGTTGGAGAGCAGGTTTGATCTTATCCTTCTGCCTAAAGACACAGACATGAACCACAAGAAAGGGATGCTGACGTGTCATGGTCAACGAGATCCCTCCACCTTCACCAAGAGTAGATTCACCACAAGTGAATTTAACTTGTGCCAAAACACAGAGCTAGAAAACAGGAATCACCACCTATTTGCCAAATATTTCACCCACAAGTCTCCCTCTCTAGGGCAAACTTCCAAGAATAATTGGCTTTCTTTCCTACCCAGGCAGCCACTTTATTTTTTTTATTATTATTCATTCATTCATTCATTCATTCATTCATTATTCGGCAAGCATTTATTTATTCAACATTTGATATTAGTAGAGCTCAAACTTACACGTTTCAAAATAAGTAGACGTAGTCCCTGTCCTCAAAGCATTTAGAATCTAGTTGGGGAACTCACAAATCTGGAAATCTGGAGTCTGAATAAGAAGGAGAATTCGCAAGCATATCCACCTTCTCCTCCACCATAATCTAGCCAAGATTAAGTGTGCTCCTCACAGAAAAATCAAATTAATCACCTGGTCATCTGGTCTACATCTTGCCTAGCTTTTTCATAGTCCACTTATCCTTTAAAGTTAATGCACAGTTCAATACTTATCTTCCTCCTCTGAGAGAACTGGAAGGCTTCAGCCTTAATTAAAATTACCCTATACTTAGAAGACGGAACCAGGTTGCTTTTGAGAATGAAAATGGCACTGTACTAATAATCAGTCTAGTACAAGCATAAACTGGAGAACGGGACTTCTCACCGTAACTGTATGACATTGCACTTGACTAAGCCAAATTGTGTGCACTCCATAAATTCTGCAGTGATTACAACATCTGACCTTCAAAAGGGGTTCACATTGTGATCACTGACTGCATTAGAGAGATGATTAAAAACAGAAACCCTAGTGGGAGTGCCGTGAAAGCATGTTAGCATCCCTTCTTTTTGCACCTTTAGCAAGTTTGCCATATCAATAGGAGAAACAAACAGCAGAATCTGAAGCTGAAATGATATGCAGTGTGATCAGAAGAGTTACAGTTAGAGAGAGACCTTTAAAAATTTTTTATAAGTAGACAACAGCCAGATGCTTCTGGTCATGTTCAATTAACGCTAAGAGATTTCTAGAAAAACAGTCCCTCGGATACCTAAGGAAATCCGAGATAAATGGCCTAAAGGGACAAAGACAGACTTTGCCGCATAGTAATACCAAACCACTGTTGTTGAAAAGGAGCCAAATTTTTCCCGGAGACCATGAAGTTGTGAACGGAATAGATGCAGCTCTTTTCCCAAGGAGATGAGAAGTGAGTCACATGCCTGAAACATATTGATGAGCCATTAGTTCTCCATCTTCCACATAACTGGTGCTGCCCATAATAGTTTACATATACCAACATACATATGCCCGGCTTGTCAATGAGCTAGAGGGATGTGGCTCGTGCAATTAAAAGTCTCAGAAATACTAAAGACCAGACTGCAACAGAAATCGCAAAATGCCATAATCACTTGATCCATTATTTATACGTTGTAGCCCCTTATACTGTCTATCATATTATAATAGCCTAAGAAGAAGAACCAGACCAAAAAAATAAAAAGAACCAAAACAATTATGGAACATTTCCCTCTCTGAAACTGAATAAACACAAGCTTATGTTCTTTGCTTTGTCTCATCTAATATAGTTTATCCTGTCACACTTTCTCATTTTCTGTCATTCAACAAATCTCAATTTTCAGTGCAAGTAAAATCTGAGCACGCTGGCGTGGTAGTTGACGATGCATGGAGGGTGGCATTTAGGTGCAGGCCAGTGCCGTCACACCGGGCTTGCTCTGCACCGTCCCCCTGCCCGGCGTGGGGATGCCATCTCACTACTGCACCTTTTCCCTCCTTAGAAAACCTATAGAGATTTCCGATTGCAAGGGGTCCTGGACTCGACCTTAAACAGCAAGACCTACGAAACCATCCGGAACCGTCTGACCGTGGAGGAAGCCACAGCCTCGGTGAGTGAAGGTGGAGGCCTGCAGGGAATCAGCATGAAGGACAGCGACGAGGAGGATGAAGAAGATGATTAGAGCCTTGGATCCTAGAGCCCGTTGGGATGGAGTCCTGTAACCAATGCATGTTCTTAGTCTGTTAGTTAACCCCATTAGGGAATTTTTCTGTCTACTCCCTAGCCCTGAGATGTCTACCAATACAATTGCCATTTTAGCTCTGTGGTACCAAGACTAGCAAACGACCTTCGAATCCACTGATTTCCTGATTCCATGTCTATATGTTTACAAGCAATATGAAGCACCATTCTTTAAATATTGTTCATGGAGAAAACATAGTCCAAACGCTAGGCGTGTCCCTGTTATAAGCGAAGTTAAATGATGCTTCATTAACGTACTATGTATACATAGACAGTAAATGGATTTGAGGGCCAGTATACCAAGTATTTTCATTTCCTTGTTTCATGTATATGGATGCCAGTTATTTAAATGAGTACCTAAATAAAATAACTAAGACATGTAGATCTGCTTTGTTTTCTGAGAACCAAAAGGCAAGTCTCCAACAACTAACTGGGTTCTTCCCTGAAAAATTGCCCCTGAAATGAAAATGCAAACCCCTTGTGTCCTTGTTGACTCAGCCTTTCACTTATCCATGTAGTTAGCCCAAAAAGGATGGCTATGTACCCGTGGGTTGATCCTCTTCAATGCCACAGCCCGATGTGACATCAAGCACAGTTCAGAGCAACTGACTCCTGTCAAAGTTTATCCTATTTAAACGTTACATTTTGCTTTTACGTTTCAGTAACTCTGTATGTAAAAAAGAGAAAAAAAATCAAACCAACCAACCAACCTTGAATATTTAAATTACAATTCTAAACTATAAATGTGTTTATAATAAGATGTGGATATTTCCTTCAGTAGACTGTAACCATAATTTCAATTCTTTTGTTCCATGATGTTTTTTATATCTGTCATGTACATTGCATTTTGATCCGTCACTGCACGACCCTGGAGTCCTCTGCAGAGCAATTTCTTTCTGTGTAAAGTAGTGGATCCATCTTGCTTTTGCCTTATATAAAGCCTACAGTTATGAAAGTGTGGAAAACTGTGGCTTCTCAATAAATAACTATTCCAATGTCCTAAGAATGCACGTTTGAGTCTCTTTTTTTCTTACTGCTCCTTTGAGAGTCTGACCCAAGACATAAAAAACAAGGAAAAGGGGGGAAATGGGTGCTGTTCCTAGTATAATTGAGGCTCTTGCGGTGAGCATTTCCCCATGCTCATAGTTCTTCAGTAGCCTAAAGTTCCATTAATTCAGGCTCCACTAATTCAGAATTTTGACATGGGCATTTTGACATGTTGGGCAGATTATGCTTGCATTATAGGATAAATAAGAGTTTGCTAAGCAAGTGAGTAGTGTAAACGAGAGAAATGTTTCTCCTATATGGAGGGAAGGCCAACAAACTGTTTTTAAGCACCACTTTAACAGCAGTGTTTGCATTCAAACAAAGCGTGTGCCAATTATATATGATTCTTATATATTTGTTAAAGTGTTTTAAACGATTCTCTAAGATTCAGAGCACTCTTTTCATTCCCTAGGCCCTAGTAGCAATACAATCACCTAGGTTTGAAAGGAAGGAAACATTTTTAAGTTCTCATTTTGCTGCTGTTGTTTTTATTTTTTATCTGTCATTACATCAAGCTGCCCTCTTCTGGGGATGACTAAGGTTTTAAGGAACAGTCATTCTTCCAATCAGACAGGTAGAAGGTGCTCGATTATTTCCTATAAATCAGCCTTTCAAGTCAGCATATTCCACTCTGTTGCATCTTTGAGATCTATGTGTGCAAACCAACTGTCTTTCTTCCCTAAGTGATTTCACATTAATTGTTGTTGTTGTTATGTGCTATCAAGTCGCTGTGACTCATAGCAACCCTATGTACAAACGCCGTTCTGTCCTGTGCCAACCTCGCTGTCTGAAGCACATTCATTCCCACCACTCCAGTCACAGAATCGATCCATCTCATTGAGGGTCTTCCTCTCCTGTGCCGTCCCTCCACTCTCTCAAACATGATGTCCCTCTCCAATGACCAGGCCCTCCTTCCATCATGCCCAAAGTATGTCAGACGAAGCTTCAGAATCCTTGACTACAAGGAGCATTCTGGCTTCACCCTCTCCAGAACAAACCTGTTTTTTCTCCTAGCAGTCCATGGTATATTCCACACTCTTCTCTAGTACCACAGCTCAAAGGCATCAATTCTCTTTCCGTCATCCCTATTCACTCTCCAACTCTCCAATGCATAGCACGTAATTGCAAAGACTATAGCCTGGATCAGGCACACCTTAGTCTCCAGCCTGACGTCGTTGCTCTTCAGTACTCTTGAGAGGTCACTCACAGCTGACTTTCCCAGTGCAATTCATCTCCTGATTTCCTGGATGATGTTACCAAGAGTGTTGATTGTGGAACCAAGTAAGCTAAAACTGTTAACTATCATTAATTACCTCCCATTTTAATGGAGAACTGTGGTGGCCTAGTGGTAAGAAGCTACTACACTGCAGTCCTAAAAACACACGGTTCAAATACAGCAGTTGCTCGGCCAGAGAAGGCGGGGCAATCTCCTCCCATGAGATTTACTGCCTCTGAAAACCCACTGTAGGATGAGCTATGAGTCTAACTCGACAGCAAACAACAACAACAATTCTGTGCCAAAGGAGCCCCAGTAGCAAAGTGTGTTACGTGCTGGGCTATTCACGATAAAGTTGGCAATTCAAATCCACCAACTACTCTGCAGGGGAAAGACGGGCATTCTGGTTTTATGACATTTACAGACTGGGAAACCCAATGGAAGATCACCATGATACAGAACTAACTTGATGACAGATGGGTTCAAGGATTTTGCATTACAGAATGTAGACCAAGTGTCATACATGCTTAAGGAGCACCTTATTTACACATGAAAGTGGAGGGCCAATGAAAAAGAGGAAAACTCTCAGAATAATGAATTGAGCCATTGCTATGACTGCCTTCCGTAGAGCAGAGATTGTGACGATGTGACTGGACCTAGCAGTTCCATCTTCCCGGAAGGTCCGGTAGAGTCACTGTCAGTTGTAGCGGACTTGATGGCACTTAACAAGAGCAACAACCAAAATAAACGAGCCCTGCTCTCATAATTATTATACATAAGGAAATTGAAGTCCGAAGACCAAAGTAACTCACCAGCATGTAGACAACAGTTAAGAGATAGCAGCAAAAACCTAGTAATACAAATGGCAAAGATGGATCGCTTAGGTGGTTAAAAAGACAGAAACCCCCCAAACTTTTCTCAATCCCACACACTTCAGTAGGAGTGGGAAAGCCAAGACGGTTAAAAATGTATTTGTATTGTATTTTTAGTTGCAAATTAAAACATGTCTTTTGCAACAATTGCAAACAACTCAAGAATGTGCAAAGTAAATAGGAAGCATCTGTTCAGTGTATAGGAGTTAGAAATAGGAGGAGAAGAAGCAAAGCATCTCAGAGGAGCCCCTGAATGCATGGATTAGGTAACTAACCAAAAGACAAGAGTCAAAAGGTGTAAAGAGGACCAGCTCAGAAAGGACTGCGTCCCGAAACCAGGTCAGGAAAAGATCGCTTCAGAAGAATGCACTCTGGCCCATCACTGAGGATTCTCTGAAGTAGGGCAATACTTCTGTGTGGCAATGAAGAGGCAGAAGAAATGAAGTAACGTCAAAAGAGATTAGAGAGAGCTAACCAAATGGAAGCCCCATCTTATACTTGCCACAAACTCAACAACAATAAGACAGACATCACCTTTGGTTTACTTAAAGTATAGTATACATACATAAAGGTACACAAATCATAGGCATGAATTCAATGATTCCGAAAATGTGTTTTCACTCACGGTCATGTAATCACCCAGGTCAATAAGTTGAACATAATATCTTCACATATGCTTCTATGCCTAAGTCCATTGCCAGTCACTGCTGCCCTGTGGAGTCCATCACAGGCTGATGTATGTCAAAGTAAATCCGTGTTGAATACTGTTCTTAACAGCTGATTTTCCAGGAGTAAATTACCAGCACATTCTTATAAAGTGTTTGTAGGGTAACTCGGACCTTCAAGCTTTCCATTGGCAACCAGGCCTATTAGCCAATAGCACCACCCAAGGATTTCTCTCAATAAGGACTACTCAGTCCTGATTCACTAGTGAGTTGATTTGAGTCTCCCTAAAAATTGTATGTCTTAAATCCTAACCTCTGTAATTGTGATTACGATCTTATTTGGGATTGTGTTGTCTGTTAATGAAACAGACTGAGTATAGGGTATGTCTTGAGTCAATCGCTTTTTGAGACATAAAAGATCAGAGTAATGATGCAATCAGATGAGAGGTGCAGAAGAGAGATGTAAAGCCATTCAAATATGACCCTGGAGCAAAACCTCAAAGAATTAAAAAACACAGGGCTCATTCTCCAAAGCCAGCAGACAGAAAGCACCCTAGAGTCAGCACTCTGCATTTGGACGTCTAGCTCCTCAACCATAAGTTATGGATAACATTGAGAGGAATGGAAATCCCAGAACACTTCATTGTGCTAATGCTAAACTATACATAGACCAAAAGAAAACTGTTGTCTGAATACAAGAGAACACTGCGTGATTTAGAATCAGGAAATATGTGTAACTGGGTTGGTTAGTTTAGGTGGTGTTTTGTTGCTGGGTTTTTTCCCCCTCTTCATGCCTATTCAATCTGTATGCTAAGCAAATAGTCCTAGAAGCTTGACTCTGTAAAGAAAAATATGGCAGCAGGATTGGAAAAAGACTTCTCAACAACCTACATTGTGCAGATGATACAACTTTGCTTGCAGAAAGTGCAGAAGCACATAGAGAAGACAATCAAAGACTGCAACCTTTAAAAGGTATTACATCTCAACATCCAGAAAACAAAAATCTGTACACCAGTGTGCATAGCAGCATTATTCACCATCACAAGAACATGGAAACACCCCAAGTGTACAACTACAATTGAATAGATTGAGAAATTGTCACACATTCACACAATGGAATACAATGCAGCACTTAGGAGCAATGAGTTTGAAAATTACTAAATAATTTGGGAGGAACTGGAGAGCATTAACTAACTCAGTCACATAAGGACAAAAGCTATATAAGACCATTATTGAAGAAATAGAAAGATAGCTAGGAAAATAGGTATGAGCTTGCAAGGCAGCGAGAGTAGGAGCAGCGAGGTGAGGATGGACAAGAGGAAAATCACAGGGCCGCACAATTCTATGCATGGTGGTGAGTGAGAAAAGGAAATGGGAAAGAACTGGCAGGGATCTGGAAAGACAGGGTAATTAATGATCATTCATGTTGATTACGTTTAGAAAATATAATGTATGTGAATGATCGTAGGAAACATGATATGAATGAAGGATAGTATGAAGCACAATGCATACAAACTTTGTAAGCAAATCAATACAAAATTAAAATTTGTAAAAAAAATAATAAAGCAAAAATTCTCA